AATGTAAATATGTCTAGAATATATTTTTTATTTTTACATTTGATTATTTATATTCATTTTGTTTGTTTGTTTGTGTCTGCATTTATTTAGCATTTTTGCATTTTGTCCTCCAGATCCTAAAACCCGAACTAAAAAAGCTATAACTTTATTCTTTTGCCAACTCTGAAGCACTTGTTAGCACTTCTGCAAATGACTGAAAAAGACTTTTACTATTATTATTAATTTTTTTTTTCAATTTGAAGGTCATACCAGATTTACGGAAAGAAATCAACAGCCTGCAGATGCAGCGAGCTGAAGCTGATAAAACCACGAGAGCTCAGAATCTACAAGCCAGAGGTACAAAACATGCTGCCATGGACTGTCTTTACATTATGTATGAATGACTCGTCTAAAGGCGTCTTTATCCATTTTTACGCCCTCAGCTAAGATGAGTTTGATCACGAGACAGCTGCTCGGTGAAGCTAAAGAGGAAATTCTCATCCAAAGGTGTGCAGAAATATTGGGAGTGTCAGTGCTGATTGTTATTTGGCACAGTTTTGATTTGCTTTAATCAAGTTGTCTGTTTTACTTCAGACTTAATGAAGAAGCCTTAGATAATGATGATGGAGCTGATCTTCTCGCTGCTTTTGACTCCATGGAGAAAGCTGCTAAGTATGACCTCTAAAGGTTTGTAATTTAATCCATAGTGTTTATTTTTGCATCAAATTGTCTGTCCTTTTATCTCAGGGTGATGGAAACTCAGCTGCGGGAGCAAAAGGACACTTGTAAGAGTCAGCAGGAAGCTCTGGTCTTCAAAAACGAACATTTAAACAAAGAGAACGAGCAGCTTCAAGCTCTCTTTCAGGAGAAGAGCAACGTCAACCAAAGCATCGGACAGGAAGTGGCCCGTCTCTCTGCTGAGAACATGGTAGAGCTTGTATTTATGTACAGTAGACTGTATGTTTGTTTGCATAGTTTGATGTCAGCTGGTGATGATGGTGACTTCCTGTGTGCAGGTGATTCCAGAACTGAAGCAGCAGGTGTCAGAACTGAACCGCCACAAACAAGAGCTTGAGACCCAGTTACAAGATCAGAGTGCTGAGATGAGCGGTGAGCCAAACACATCTGAATTGGACTACATTTTAAGCATGCTAAACTATTTTGGACAGATATGGGCAACAGGATATGATGTCACACTCCAGGGCTTCTGTTTTAAATACACTACTTGTTAGACGTTTGGAATAAATAACATTTTTTAATGCTTCTGAAAGAAGTCTCTTATGCTCACTAAGGCTGCATTTATTTGATCAAAAATACTGTAAAATAGTCATATTGTTAAGTGTTATTACCATTTAAAATAACAGTTTCCTATTTAAATATATGATATAAAATTTGATTTGTTTAGGTGGTAACAAAGCTGAATTTTCAGCAGCCAGTTATTTGAAGTAGAAATATTTTGTAATATTATAAATGTCTTTTCTGTCACTTTTGATCAATTTAATTCGTCTTTGCAGAATAAAATAATTAATTTCTTTTTTTAGTCTTACCTACTCCAAACTATTGGAAGTGTATCATGTTTTTTTACAAATATATAAAGCAGCACTGTTTTCAACATTAATGCTGTTGGAAATTCAGCTTTGCATCACAGGAATTAATAATTTTGCAATATATTCAAATTAAAAACAGTTCTTTTAAATTGTAATAATATTTCACAATATTACTGTTTTTACTGTGTTTTGATCAAATAAATGGAGCATTGGTGAGACTTAAAAAAAAAAAAAAACTTAATTATTCAAACTTAAGTAGTGTATATGAATAAATAATGTTAAATTCAAAATGGTATCTGTTTGGATTTTTTCACTCGAGGTAGGACCAATTATGATCATGTTTGAACTTCTTAAATTGTATGTGGCAGCAAAAATAAAGGAGTTATCAAACAAGCTTCAGCTCACTGTTGAAGAGGAGCAATCGCAGCGCAGGTGAGGCGTTTATTACCCTCAGACTATATTTACAGACTGTGGCACGAGGCTGAAGGCGCAGGTGTTGTGCATCTGTTCATAGGCACCTAGAGGAGAAGATAACAGAGAGCGAGAGGAGAAGAGAAGAGATGGAGAGACAGATGGCTGACCTCCAGGAGGAGAACGAGCAGCTACAGAAAGCCCAGCTCTCAGAGAGCGAAGCCAAGAACAAACTCAGACAGGAGACATCCCGTCTCACAGCTGAGAATATGGTGTGTGTGAAAGGGCACGCTCATGATTACATTTGCATTTATATGGATTCATTTATACAAAGCAACTTAGACATAAAGACAAATACATGCATAATAAATATATGCACGCCTCAAAGCAAACATAATGCAATATAAAACATAAATAAATGGTTGGAGATATGCAAAAATGTTAAAGAAAATGCAAAATTGAAAGCTACATTTTTAATAAATAATATATTGTTTATTAAATATATTTTAGTATATATTAATAGTTAATATAAGCTTATATTTCATATATAACATGCCTAATATTATATTTTATAATATACTTAGACTTACTATTTAAAATGTATTATACGTTATTTAGAATTTACTTATATATTATATAATTATTCATGAATATGCAGAATAATTAATGTAAAACTTTGACTGTTAGTTGTCCTCCTGAATATTAATATTATCCTCCTTAATGTTATACAATTATAATATACTTACACTTAATATTATATATATATATATATATATATATATATAAAACTTATTTCTAACGTATTTAATTTAGATTTATTTATTAATTTATGCATTTATTTATTTGTTTATTTTAAAACTAGACTGTTAGTGGCACCAGAATCAGTGTCCTCCTGATAGACATTTAGGACTTGCGGTCCAAAAAGTCAATATGTTAATATTAATCTAATTTGTAAGATCATTTTCTTCTGGTTCCAGGACTTTGAGGAGCAGCTAGACATGAAGGACAGACTGATAAAACGACTCCAAGACCAAATCAAAGCAATTCAAACACATGCGACAGGTACATCTCTTTCCATTAATCTGATTTTATATTTAGCCAATCCGGTCTCATCCTCTCCATGTTTTGTATCCTCATCAGCCAATCAGAAAGCAGAGCCGGCTGTGCCCAAAGAGTATTTGGGCATGTTGGAGTACAAGAAGGAGAATGAAAGCAGGCTGATCCGGACGCTTATACTGGGTAAATCCATCACTAAAGCATATGTACGTCCAACGCACAAATAACTCATAATTTACTGAGTGGTTTGTAATCTGCAGAGCTGAAACCTCGCGGTGTGGGTGTGCTAATGATCCCTGGTCTGGCTGCACATCTCCTCTTCATGTGTGTGAGACACGCTGATTACCTCAATGACGGAAACAAACTCAAGTCCCTCATGAACGGCATCATCTCAGCCATCAAAGAGGTCATCACGGTAAGACGCTGTGCATGCTGGACCGATGGCCCTCTGAATGTGTACTGTATGTGGCTCTTTTATCTTTTCAGAGAATCTGCAAGCCTTAGTTATATTCTGGAATATGTAAAGATTCTGTTCTTTCTGGATGTTTTTGACAGATGTGGATTTTTATATGATTTGGTTGTGTTTTTAATTAGGGTTATTCTCAGCTTTTAATGCAGATACTTTTTGTGTGGGTGAATTCTCATTATTATAATGCAAAATCTCCTTGTCATAAAATAAAAAAATTATTAATAAAATTGAAATAGATAAAAAAATATTGAATATTTGTATTAATATAATAAAATAAAAAAATATAAATAATTATATATATATATATATATATATTACAAATTGTCATCATAGCATTTGTTGTATTGCCTTTAATGCTGATTATAGCATATATTTTACATATTAATATCATATAATAATATTAATAAGTTGAATAACAATAAATATATAAAAAATAAAAATGCAATGTGTGTGTGTATATATATATATATATATATATATATAAACATGCTAATGTTTATTGTATTATTTTTAATACAAGGATTTGATTTAAATATACATATATATTATTAATACAGCAGTGCAATAAATATTAAAATAATAATAAATACAGTAATAAAATAAATTATTATAAAATATAATGTCACTGCAAAAATATAATAGTTGTAAACATGCTTAAGTTTCTTTAAGCAAAATGTAATTTTCTTTTGATTATAAATGAAGTAAATATGAATGAATTCTGTCACACATTGTATTATGTCCTGAATTCGAGCAAACTAATGCAATTCATAAACTAACATGATAATTCAAAAACTAGCAACTTGCATATTCTGCCTCTTTCAAACACACAATCACATCTGAATACAGCCAACCTGCAGAATCCTCTGAGATTGCTGCTGCACGTCACTTTATGATGATGATTATGATGACTATGATTTCAGAACCAACAGGAGAGTTTTGAAGTTCTGTCCTTCTGGCTCTCAAACACATATCACTTCCTCAACTGTCTCAAACAGTACAGCGGAGACGAGGTAAAGTCCTTTTCTGTGTCTCTCTACTCCCTTCCATGATTAAAGGGGTCCTATTATGCTTTTTCACTTTTTCAACTTTAGTTAGTCTGTAATGTTGCTGTTTGAGCATAAAAAAGATCTGCAAAGTTACAAAGCTCAAAGTCAACTTCAAAAGGAGATTGATTTAACAGAAATCACTTTTCAAAAACTACAACCAACGACTCGTTACTGGGGAGAGAGGTGTTGTAATAATGTAAAATATGTGAAAAATACAACCTAGTATGAGAGCCTGTTCTAGTACACCCCCAAAACAAAATCAAGACTTTGTAAAAGAGCATAATAGGACCCCTTTAAAGACCCCATAAAATGCTATTTGTACTTCCTGATTTAATACATCAACGCTTAATTTCAAGGATATATTACTGTATCATTCCTGAAACCAACCACTGAGATTCTTTATTTCCCCTCCATCAACAGGAGTTCATGAAGCACAACACTCCTCGTCAGAACAAGAACTGCCTGAGGAACTTCGACCTGTCAGAGCACCGGCAGATTCTCAGCGACCTCGCCATCAACATCTACCATCAGTTCATCAGCATGATGGAGGACGCGCTCTTTCCCATGATAAGTATGGAAATAGAGTCGATGCATTGGCGCTATAATTTAACGCATTTTCCTTTGTTCCATCTTGTTAAACAATCCACTCTCTCCGTTCAGTCCCTGGGATGTTGGAGCACGAGAGTCTCCAGGGAATCTCCAGCATGAAGCCCACCGGTTTCCGTAAGCGCTCGAACAGCGTGTATGAGGACGGCGGGGACCACAGCGGGTCGGAGCCGTTCAGTGTGACAGACATCCTGCAGCAGCTCGACGCGTTCCACACCAGCATGGCGCAGCATGGCATGGAGCCGCAGCTGCAGGGTCAGGTCATAAGACAGCTGTTCTTCCTCATCGGAGCCACGTCGGTGAACAGCATTCTGCTCCGCAAGGACCTGTGCTCCTGCCGCAAGGGCATGCAGATCAGGTGCGTACATGTGTTAAATCCTTGTATGTGCATTACTACATAATGCACAGCATATACACTACTGTTCTATTCAGCAAGGATGCATTGAATTGATCAAAAGTGACAGATTTGTTTTGTAATACTATAAATGTCTTTGCTATTTAAAGGGGATGTCTAATGCTATTTCATGCAATCTGACTTATTTACACTGCTAAAGAGTTGGATCCTCATGCTAAACATGGCCAAAGTCTCAATAAACGAGTTAAGTTTCGGAAAGTTTCTAAATGAACAGTATGGTACTATTCCATAAATACAGAACATTTGCATAGTGTGCACACTATACATACTGTGGAGATGTACATGTTTTAAGTTCATACATCACTGGAAATGGAAGGTAAGGTGTGCATTGCATTATGGGATATAGTATTCAGTGACGTGTGCTCTGGAATAGTGCCATTCTGGCACATACAAGTGGTTGTATACATACTGCTTACTGCACAGATAGTATGAGAGGTTTGGTAGTATGGCTTTCTGAACATCCCTAGAAAAAGGTTTAATGAAGTGTCTTTTTTTTTCAGGTGTAACATCAGTTATCTAGAGGAGTGGCTGCGAGAGAAGGATCTGCAGAGCAGCTGCGCCATGGAAACGCTGGGGCCGCTCTCTCAGGTCGCCTGGCTTCTTCAGGTCAACAAGACCACAGATGATGACGCAGCCGAGATCAAGCAGAGATGCTCCGAGCTCTCTCCTGTGCAGGTGCAAACTATAGCCTGCTGCTTTGCCATTCATTCATTTATATAGGCTTTATCGGCCATAGAATGTCAGTTTTTAATTGGTCAGAGATTCTAAGAGCCCTTAGAATCTGATTGTTTTCTGGTTTTGTAGATTGTGAAAATCCTTAACTCCTACACACCCATTGATGATTTTGAAAAGCGTGTCACTCCGTCCTTTGTCCGCAAAGTGCAGGTAGGTTTTTTCTTTTTTTAAGCACGGTCGCTACTGTTCAAAAGTTTGGGGTTATTGCCATTTTTTTATGTTTTTAAAGTCTCTTCTGCTCACCTAAGCTGCATTTATGATCAAAAATATAATTAAAACAGTAATATTGTGAAATGTTTTTTCAATTTAAAAGAACTGTTTTCTATGTGAAATATGTTGTAAAATGTAATTTATTTCTGTTATCAAAGCTGAATTTTCAGCATCATTACTCCAGTCTTCAGTGTCACATGATCCATCAGAACTCATTCTAATATACTGATTTGCTGCTCAAGAAACATTGAATAATAGATCATCAATGTTAAAAACATTTGTGCTGCTTCATATTTTTTGTGGAAACCATGATGCTTTTTCTTTTTTCAGGATACTTTGATGAAAAGAAAGCTCAAAAGAACAGTATTTATTTGAAATCGAAATCTTTTGTAACATTATAAATGTCTTTACTGTCACTTTTGATCACTTTAATGCATCCTTGCTGAATAAAAGTATTAACTTCCGTAAAAAAATCATACTTCACCCCAAACTTCTGAATGGTAATAGAAAGGTAAACGATCACAAATCGTTCATAGAATCGAGCATCGTCTGATTGGCCCTTGTTTTGTCTCTATGGTAACAGGCGTTGCTGCAAGAGCGCGAGGGGTCGTCTCAGCTGATGATGGATTCACAGTATCGTTTCCAGGTCACCTTTCCCTTCTGCTCCTCACCACAAGCACTCGAACTCCTACAGGTGCCCAGCAACCTCCGTCTGGGCTTCGTCACTCGCATTTGACCTTTAACCTCTGACCTTAGTGATATCAGGTCCGGTACTTGGGATCAGGATGCGTCTGTGTTGACATGAATGCACCATGGGAACACTGCACAGTAGCTGATTTGCTAATATAAACTCATTAATGCTTTTGTATATTTTTTGATTTATTTATAAAGATTTTAATCACATGTTCTCTAAATTAGTATTTTGAATAACTACTGTTTAGATTATAGCTCTTTTAGATCAACTATGAGCAAACACTGTAACATACATTTCAATATCACAAACCAACCTCAAATGCTCAGCTCCATTTTGTAAATCCTAAATAATTGTCACAAATAGCTCTTCCTTTGAATTTTTGTAATAAATCTGAAATAAATCAATAAACACAACTGCCAAATGAGTCCTCCTCTCTTTACTCTTAGCACTCTTAGTTCTCACAACAATATGCCGTGGAAATGCTATATTTATGATGGTTAATCCTCTGGGGACTAGAGATGGAAACCCCTGGAACTAATCTTGCAACCAGCAATCTCAATCTCACAGAGTGCATTTCACAAGCATGCAGGTTATACTTCATACAAAAATAAAAATAAATAAATAAAAAGAAAGAGAAAAATTAAGCATATTTTTGATGATGATGATGATGGTGGTGATGATGATGATGGTGGTGGTGATGATGATGGTGGTGATGATGATGGTGGTGGTGATGATGATGGTGATGATGATGATGGTGGTGGTGGTGATGATGATGGTGATGATGATGGTGGTGGTGGCATCACATTATGATATTCTGAGAAAGAGGGCAGTCATTTCTAAGAATCTGTTATTTTAGTATTTACAATAAGGTTCCATTAGTTAATGTATTAACTAACATGAAAAAACAATGAGCAATACATTTATTACAGTATTTATTCATCTTTGTTAATGTTAGTTACTGAAAATACAGTCGTTCATTGTTAGTTCATGTTAATTCACAGTGCATTAAATAATTATAACAAGTACAACTTTTGATTTTAATAATAAGTAAATGTTGAAATTAACATGAACTAAGATTAATAAAGTTTAGCTTTAAATTATTCTTATTGCAGTTCTTGATATTATTTTGGTTATTGTTTTATCATTGCAATTAAGCTCATTTTCCCCATTTTCAATACTGCAATGTTTTACTTTCACATACTATTATAGCATAATATACTGAATTAGGTTTTATTTATTATTGTTCTTTTTTTTATTTATTTAAGTTTTAATAATTTAATTTTTATGTAATTTTATAACTATTTATTCAGTTTTTGATATTTTGTTATTACTTTATCATTGGAATTAAACATATTTCCCCCATTATTTCATTACTGAAATATTTTCTTTTGAGTTAATTGAGTTCATTCTAATTATTTTCAATGATCAACTGCATATTCTCCTTCTAATACAGCCATGAAAATCGTCAGGGCATATTTTAATATTGTTAAAATTAATGCATTAATTAGTGCAACAACTAATACTACAATTTTTTACATGATATACTCTATGTGTATATATGTGTATATATATATATGTGTACAAGCGTACAAATATTTTCAGAATAGGTTAGGGTTAATACGTAAATAATTCAAATTAATTTTATTATTATTTGTTTTATATATTTATATATTCTTTTTATTTTGGTGTGAATCCCGAGAGTGATAAAATGGAATACTGAATTTATAGAGCATATGTTTTCCAGTCAGGGATTTGAGAAGCCCTTGCAGGCGTGGAAAGCGCAAATATTGATCATCAGGAGGATATAACGCACATCCGAGCGCCTCTCTGGGGTTCAGGCGGATGCGAGAGAGAGAGAGAGAGAGAGAGG